GGAGCAGGAATGCTGACGTTTCGCGTCAGACCCAAAACGTCAGCTTTCCTGCTCCTCTGCTGCTGCCTGGCCTGCTGTGCTCATCCAGCTCCACAGCTTGTTATCTTGAGTCCAGTGAACCTCCTTCAGAATTGACAGTAGCAAGGAAAAGGTGGTCTGTACACTGACATAGGAGGTTGGGGAGGGGGTGGAGAAGGAGTGATCAGATAGGTGGAGATGGAACCCTGAGAGAGAGGCAGCTAGACAGACAAAGATAGCTGATTGTAAGCCAGGGAAGGAGATAAACTGATAATGGGGACAATGAAGAAGGGTCTAGGCCCGAAACGTCAGCTTTCCTGCTCCTCTGATGCTGCTTGGCCTGCTGTGTTCATCCAGCTCTACACCTTGTTATCCCAATATGAAATTAACTGGCTCGAGACCAGATGAGTTTAGGGGTATGGCACAACATTTCAAAACTCTCAACTGCATTGAGTTAGCGTTCTTTTGCAGACTGCAAGATATCTACAGGATACAGGACAATCTTCTCATAAAACAGTGTTCTGATAAACTTCTTAAAACCACAGAAGGTCTGTTAAGCAATTAAATCCTTTATGGGATTGCTGTCATTTTAAATTGATTACTATATGGCCAGAAACAATCAGTCCCAATTGAAAATACAGTTATCTTGACTAGGAATCCCGCCCACCCCCACCACCACATCAAAAAGTACATGGTTCATTACTAAGGAAGTAATGTAATTTTTTTGTTTCGATTGAAATATTATGTTTTGATTGAAATATGCGTTATGTTTAAGCTCTTAAAAAATAGATTGAAAGCCATTTGATAAGCAAGTTCACTGTTTTGCAAGCGAGTAACTGATCAGTTTTACTAATCAAACTGTTCAGAGATGTTATTACACTCCTGTGGAGCAGGTGGGATTTAAATACTGTCTGAGAGATTAGGGACACTACCACTCCGCCACAAGAGCCCTCCCGAGAGTAACTAATTATTTGAGGATGTTAATTGCTAACAGGTGAGTATTTTAACAAGCACTTCATTCAGAGTACATGCTAGTTCTGATGAATAACTCTTTATTCTGAATCTTTTCCCCAAATAAATAAAATAAAAGATTTTTTTTAAAAAAGTCTTCATTGTAAAAGTTGAGAACTTTCACGGTTGAGGCTTTTGCAACTTCATTAAACCTGTATGATTTATGATCATTATTTGCTGAACCTGGCATTTTATGACATAGCTATTAGGAATCAAACCTGGACCTTCTGGAACAGTGATGTAGAGAGAACCACTGTGGCAAAAGCTCCAATGTGATTAATGCTTTTGCAATTTTACTACTAAATCTGACTTTCAGCATTTGATTGACATGTACAATCTATTGGTTGGAGAGGTTTGAGGTTTCTATTTGTCGCATGCAATTTAATTTTAAATTTGTTAGTTATTCAGTTAGGTGAGCTACCTTTGCTTATTTTGTGACAAAGGTGAGCCAGTGGATACTGTTGTTTATACCTGGTGTCAGAAAAGGTATCTGGTGACTGCACATTTGTAATCACCCATGCCAAGCACACTTATTGCTCAACTTGAATGCATTTTCTTGCGAAGTAGGCAAGTAAAATGTGAAATTTTTGTGCTAAAATTAAATATCTTTACGTCTTTCAATATTCTTGCTACAGATGCCAGTGGCAGGTTGAAGCTAACGGTGCCTTATCTCCTGCGTTGACACCAAGTCCCTCTCCTCTGCCGCTGACTATCGAGGAAGACCAGGAGTTCACATATCCATGTGATGCACTCGCACCACCACCTCCATTAACTGGGCACTACTTTGATCTGCCAAGGATTCGTCTACCTCCTGGAATTATGGGAAAGCTCAGGGAAATATCTGGCAGAGCACGGCCTCAATTCAGACCAAGTATTAAGTGAGTATAATCCCTTAAATATCAGTGGTTCTACCTTTTAAAATGCAAAGGTTAGTGTATTAAGGTATTAGGGCATTTATTTGGTGAGCATATTCAATTATAGGAATAAATAGTTCAGTCTACATAACTGAATGTTTCAACAAACTGCTTAGTTCGGTTATGTTGTTCTACATTTGCACTCTCATTTCCTGGTTTGGGAAACATGAAGCCAAATGGAATTTAAAACAGGTTATTGTTAATTGCAAGTTAATTAAGGGATAATTGAGAGTGAATGGAGTGTGCATGCATATACAATATAGGGAAAAATGTAATCAGTGTTGAGTTTGTAATGTTTAAGTTGAAATAAAACTCCAGCCGGGAAGGTAAATGCTTGGTCTAACCAACCTTTTAATTTCTGCTAACATACAGTAATAAAGATGGTTTGCTGTTTGTAAGTCCAAGATTTAGAGTTAGGTATTATTGTAACCAAAACGTTTGCAGATTTGCAGCAGCAGCAGAGAAATGGATGAACCAAAATCTGAAGTATCAATGTCTGAATACCCATCCCCAGTTTCTGAATGTGAACCTTATGATTGGTAAAAGAATTAAGTATCATTGGAACTGTGTTCATTCTTTACTGAAGCAAATAAAAATGGCCTTGGCTCTTTCTCCACCATACAAAAGCAGGATAAGAAGCATTTTTTTTAGAATTGTAAATTGATACTGAATTGCAAACTGAAGAAGATTTGGACATAGTATGAACTTCCATGAATAAAGTTTATTGAAAGGTGGCTTACTAACTGCTTATGAGGCATGGTCAGATTTTGACACAGTCAGAAAGAGTGAGGGTAGTTCCATAGAATAATACATATGGAAGTCAGATTGCATAACAAGACTGTAGAAATTCTATTCAGAAATTCAGTCTGTGCTGGCATCTAAGTTATTAGTGTACCAAAATATTAAGCTTAGACAGCTTTGACAGGATTTAAATTTGTAGGTAAATACATGATACTGGGACAAATGTCGGAAGTACTAAAAAAATTCTTAGCAAAGCATTCCATTCTAGCAGCCTTCGTAGGGCAAATGGGCAATTGCCCATACAACAGAGAATGGAGGACACCATGTTATTGACTGGTAAGATCAACTAGGATACAGGTCGGAAGCGATAAACGCAAAAGTCGAATTGTAATGGAAAGAAATGAGGACAGAAATGATTTTGACAATTTTGAGTATCGAAGAGAACTTGCGACTTACAATAAAAGAATAAACTACATAATTCCTGAGGGTGGAGTCGCACCATGTTTTGTGTGATTCAAAGTACAATTATAAGATGAGCTGTCCGAAAGGTTAAGATAGGTTATTAAAAACTAAACACAAAACAAAAGGTTCGGAGGAAGGTGATGGAGACACTGATCCAAGAAAGGGCACTGTCTTGGTTACAAGAAGATTCTAGCCTCGTGATGAATATGTTGGTGGCTGTATCTTTTGATTGTGCAGTATTGGACAAAGGAAAGTCGAGTTGAGGATTATCAGATCAACCATCATCTACTCATTGAATGATGGAGCAGACTTGATGGGCTGAATGAGCCACTTCTGCTGCATCTTATGGTTTTGTGTATATGAAACTGTATCTGGAAAATAACAAATCAGTTGTATTTGGGAACCTGTGAATTTGCAATTCATATAACTGAAACATATTGCGTTCCTCAAACGGAACAGAACCTCTCCTCTTAGCAAGTTAGTGTGTTATTGTCATCAACTGCCAGAGGAAGTGGTAGATGCAGGTACTGTTACAGCATTTAAAAGACATTTGGATAGGTACATGAATAAGAAGGGTTTAGAAGGATATGGGCCAAGTGCAGGCAAGTGGGACTAGTTTAGTTTGGGAAACTTGATCGACATAGGATCTGTTTCCATGCTGTATGACTCTACATTTAAAATATAAGAAGTTAGTTGTTTTAAAACTACATAGGCTATTTGCCCGCCCGCCCATCCATCCTCAAATGTTAAAAATATCGCTAGATGCAGAATATAGATCGTATCAGTTAACTTATGGTAGAAATCCTAAAGTGCCATTAATAAGAAGTGATCGCCCTCCTGCTTGGGAAGGGGAAACAAATAGCTCAACTTCTCCTTTAGCATTTGAATGTACTGCATGCAGGCAGCAAGGTTTTCATTATAGTCAAAAGTCTGAGAATTTGGTGAACTTTATAATGTAAAGCCATTGCAAACCAATTTCAGCCAGAGATATGATTTATTATAAAAGAAGGGGTTTGTTGAATGGGTAGGCATGGGAAAATTTGTTTGTAAAGATGGGAAAGTAATTTTACAGCATGTTAACCAGACTGTTTGGATTCATTCTTTAGGCTTGCTTGGTATAGGTTACAAGTTTATAGAATCTAAAGGAGGTATAAAAGTAACTAGGAACCAGGCACTTCTCGTGACCATATGTTTGCAGAGCTACAAGGGTCAGACTGTCACAATTGACATGAAAACAGAGTGCTGGATCTGTAGAGAGAAACAGACTTAATGTTTATGTTGACTCAACTTGCGTGCTTCTCTCTCTCCAAAGATACTGCTAGACCTGCTGAGATTCTCCAGCATTTTAGTTTTGTTTTCAGATTTCCATCATCTGTAATATTTTGCTTTTGTCACAATTGATACTAATGAAGGAAAAATAGTTCTGACAATCAAAATAAGGGCATCGGTCTCTAAAGACAGCTACTAAAAGTGGGAACCACGGTCAAATATTTACGAGAAGAGGCTAGTCAATGGAGAAATGAAACTAATATAAGTAAAGCAGGGAAAGCCACTGGTAAGTATAACCACTCGTTGAATGTAAAGGATGAGGAGCAAGACATTAGATCCATGGATTAAAACATGAAGCACAAAATGCATGTATACTCAGACAGTGGACCAGGGAGTGAACATCTCTCTGGAAAGAGATCACAATCTGTTGAATGCCATTAGTAGGAGGGTGAAGATCAAACAGTAAGAGTCCTGACAGAGCGAAAGCAAGATTGAGAACATAACTTAACAAAGTCAAGGAACATAGTACAGATCATGAGTGTCACCGACTTTGCATTAAAGTCCAACCTCAAACTGTTATTTCCATGACTGTCAATGACCTCTGCTCCTCTAGAGATCTGCCCTTAAAGCTCAGAGACCCCCACCCTGCGCAGTTCAATTCTACATCTTTCCCAAATCTGTAAACAGGACTGCCCATCGTTTCAGCCTCTTCTTGCCCCACTGAACTTATTTTTTCCTATCTTGATTCTATTTTCTTACCTCCCATCCCCATTCAGTCTCTTTCCACCCCCACTTGTGATTTTTCTGATGCATTGTGTCAATTCCACAATTTCCAGTTTTCTGAACCCAGCTACCACTTCTTCACTATGAATGCGCACTGCCTCTACATGTCCAACCCTTCTAAAGGCTCTGCACTCCTTCCTTGAAAAGAAGTATGAGAAGTCGCTTTCATCCACCATCACTCTCCATTGCCTGGCTGAGCTTCTTTGCATTTTGAATAAGATTTCCTTTAAATCATCTCACTTTCTCCAAGTCAAAGATGAAGCTATGGGTGACTGCAAATTTGCAGATGACACTAAAATAGTTTGGAAACTAAGTTGCAATGACGAAATAAGAAACTTGATTTTGATTTTATTATTGTCACGTACTGAGATACAGTGAAAAGTATTGTTTTGTGTGCTAACCAGACAAATCCTACCTTATGTAAGTACATGAGGACAATTTCGTGTTACAGCTACAGGGAAGGTGCAGAGAAAGATTGGCTCTACTATATGAGGGGTCCGTTCATAAGTCTGGTAACAGTGCGAAAGAAGTTGTTCTTAAATCTGTTAGTATGTGTTTTCAAACTTTTGTATCCTCTCCCTGATGGAAGAGGGAAGATGGAAGAAAAATTTACAAGTAGGTGTCGATAAGTTAGGTGAATGGGCCAAAATTGGTAGCTGAAGTCAGTTGTGGATAAATGTCAGGTTGTCCATTTTTTGGGACAGAGGAGTAGAAAAGTAACATATTATCAAAATAGATACTTCAGAATTGTTCAATGTAGATTGTCTCAGTACAGCTCTGATGGTCCTCATGCATGAATCACAGAAAACTACTGTGCAAATATGGCAGGAAAATGGAAATTTGGCGTTTATTGCTAAAAGAAGAGTATAAAATTAGGGAAGTGTTGCTGCAAATATACAAGGCATTAGTGAGATCACACCTTGAATATTGGATCCAATTTTGGTCCTCTTACTTGAGGGATGCAGTTGTATTGGAGGCAATTCAGTCGATTGATTTCAGAAATGAGGAACTTGTCTTGTGAAGAGAGATTGGGAAATTTGGAACTTTAGTCTTTGGAATTTAGAAGAATGAGAGAAGATCGAATTGACGTATATCGGATGCTAAAGGGGATTGACAAAGTAGACCGAGAAATGATGTTTCCCCTCATCGGGCAATCTCAAATGAGAGGTCATAGTTTCAGGATAAGGGGTAGTAGATTTAAAACACAGAGGAGGAGACACTACTTCTCTAAAAGGGGTGTGAATCTGTTGAGCTGACTACCCCAGAGATAAGTAGATGCTGGACATTGAGTAAATTTAAGGAGGAGGTAGACAGATTTAACATTGAAGGATTATGAAGTTTGGGCAGGAAAATGGAGTTGAGGCCTTGATGTGATCAGCCATGATTGTATCAAGTAGTGGATCAGGCTTAAGGGGATGAATAGCTTATCCCTGCTTCTAGTTCTTATGGGTCACAATTATGCCTATCACATTGTAGATTGTGGAATGTTCCATATTTCCATCATACTCATGTTTCCACTCTCACTTTTATTCAATTACATATCATGATATCTTCAGTGTTGCTTCATGAAGTCATCCAGGATTGGAGAAATTAATCAGTTTTGCTTCCAATTTCTGGCCTTGTCACTTCTTGTTGTCCATCTCTGACATATTCTTTCCCCTCCTTGACTTCACTGTTTCCATTTCTAAGGATAGGCTATCCTCCACCATCCATTACAAACCCACTGATTTCCACAGTTACCTTGACTACATCATCTCACGTGCTGTCGGATTCCATTCTGTTCTCCCAGTTTTTCTGTCTCTGGCACATCTGGACTTGCTACAATATTCCAGTGTAGCTCAACACAAACTGTAGGGGTACACTTTGTTTTCTGTTTAGGCACTTTACAGCTTCTCAGACTCAATATCGAGCTCCACAACTTCAGAGCATGACCTCTGTTTTCCATCTGTCATACCCGTTTCTTGCTTCTTTACCACCATTAGCACTCCTTTTTTCTCTTGCTGTGGGTGTCATCACAATCTGTTCCACTCACTCCTCCTCCCCTCTGTCTGCATCATAAAAACCACCGTTGTCTAACCACTTTCAGTTTTGCAGTTTTGAGTATCAAACTCAAAATGTTAACTCTGTTAACTCTGTTTCTCTCTCTGTACAGATGCTGCCAAACCTGCTGTGTTTCTCTGGACTTTTCTGTTTTTGTTTGATGTACAGCATCTGTAGTATTTTGCTGTTGCATGAAAGCAACTAGGTACAGAAGCCAATATGATCCAGGAGTCTTGAGACTGAATTAATTAGGTTCCAAGGTTATAAAAGATGTCAGACAGCAAAAATTACCAAATTGGAGAGACTTTGGGGTGTACATAGAGGTGCCAGTTAGGGAAAAGCCAGCCCTATCTTTCAAATGAATATGCACAGCAAAGGAGACTTATAAGGTTAAAGCAAGTCTTGTGGCATGAAGTTTTGAGGAAAACTGGGGTCCAAGATATGAGTAGATTCACCTCAGACAGGAAAATAATTTTTTTAAAGATTTTCTTGGTTTTTTCAGCAGCAATACTTTGGAATGTGGCTCAATTGATACTAAAGCAATGTTTCTGCAGGGGGATCAGTTCAAAGAGGAAGTGTTTCTTTACTGTCCAAAAGAGGTGTCAAGCATAATGAGGGCACTTTAGAAGTTAAATAAATGCATTTATGTCCTAAATTATGCCTCCAGAGTTTGATACTTATGGTAAGGTCCATCTTATTAAAATTGGTCTGTCTCTAGTTTAGTGCAAGCCTGTCATGTTTTACTGGCCGAACATCTTGATGCATGTGCATTTGACTTATGGACTATGAGCAGTGAATTTTAAAACATTGTCATAAATAGACATAATGCAGAATTTAAAATTGAAAGTCAGGCTTTTGGAGCCTCTGAATACATTGGATATGGACTCAGCAGAATTTGTTTTCCATCAGTAATCTTAACTTGAAAATGTTAACCACATAGCTAAATAAGAACCAAAAGAAATGCAGATGCTGTAAATCCGGAGCAAAAACAGAAGTTGCTGGAAAAGCTTCCTCAGTTCTGAGGAAGGGTCGCTGGACTCGAAACATTAACTTTGGTTTTTTTTTCTTCGCAGATACTGCCAGACCTGAGCTTTAAGTTGCTGGAAAAGCTCGGGTCTGGCAGCATCTGCGAAGAAAAAAAAACCAAAGTTAACGTTTCGAGTCCAGCGACCCTTCCTCAGAACCGAGGAAGCTTTTCCAGCAACTTCTGTTTTCGCCAAGATGCTGTTGGTCAATGTAAAGCATCGTGAAATAATGCAGAAGCTTCAAAAACTGAATTGGAGGAGTTGTGAACTCTAAATTAAGCGAATTGGCTGCACACCCAAACAAAGCTAGATGCCAGTTTTGAGATCTTGCAGTTGAGTACAAAAATGAAAACCAAGTCTGAAGATATTCAGAAAAACAAAACATTGAAAAAATTGATACCAGGAACATGAAACTTATTGTTTTTAATTTTTTTTATGTAAATCTTTGTGTTAAATTCTCAAATGCAGGTGGATTTGTGATTTTTCTTTTCCAGACCAAAGTCAGTAAATGTTGTCCTTTTAGCTCAGGAAGCTTAAAAAGATCAGAAGAGCAATAAAATGAACCTTTAGTAAGAGGAAGTCTCATTGTATTGAGATGCTAGATATAGCGTTAACCTTAGTATAATCGGAAGAAATTATTTAAAAATTCAGCAGTAATACCCATTGAATGGTACTTTGATGTCATAATGTACATTTGATGAAATGAATGAATGATAAAAAGACTGAAGATCAACACTGCACTTTTAAAACAGATGCTAGAGGTTGAAGAAATTTCCCAATTGAAAGGGTGGAGAGCAACAGTCAACCATCTGATTTCCTTAGAAAGAAAGGAGCAACCTCTAAGAAACTATTAGAAATACTAGAAAAAGAAGTCTGGAACTTTAATGTGCACCAAAAAACCAAGTGGGAGTGTAATATTTTGTCGTCGTCTTTTTTTTTTGTTTTGATTTTCATTTATTTGGTGTGTATAAATATATATCACTTGATCAAAAAAAGCAAAAGGGAAAGTCTTTTTACCTGGAAAAGTTTGGCAGAGATGCTGGAGAACAGATGATAGTTATATGTTAGTTGTGAGCTAATTGGATGAGAATTAGGTGTATGTATGCAGGGACACAGTAATCAGTATGTTGAATTTTGTGACGTGCAAGTTGAAATAAAACTCAGTAGAGTATATGCTTGGACTCTGTCTAACCAACCCATTAACTTCTGATGTTTAACAGTGGTTAAACAGTGGGCTCTTGTGATATGGTTCCATGAGTGCTAGCAGCATGTTATTCATTGATGGAGGATGCATCTCTACTAAGCCTTTTTTTTTTCTTGACTTCTGACATCCACACACTTGCACTTTCCAGTAGCAGTTGTGTAATGATCGTGGAAGTAGAAGGTGGATTTTTTTCCAGCCTTTCCCAGCTCGGAGCCACTGAAACCACATGCAGCAACCACATTGTTATCCCAGAGTACTTCTGTTAATGAAGACTGGTTTTCAAACCTGGAACCTTCATGGTCTTTTTGGCTCATTTTGCCATAGTGCTGGGCATTTGCTATTGTGAGATGGTCAGTTCTACAGAAATAGCATTAAAAATATTTAATTACAATGAAAATAGATGGAGCTTTGAATACAATCTTTACTCTACCATTGTCAATACAGTGTGGAGCGGGAGGAACACAGCAGGTCAGGCAACATCAGAGGGGCAGGAAAGTCGACGTTTCGGGTTTACACCCTGCATCAGGACAGTAAACCCAAAACGTCGACTTTCCTGCTCCTCTGTTGCCTGACCTGCTGTGTTCCTCCAGCTCCACACTGTATTGACCCTGACTCCAGCATCTGCGGTTCTTTCTCTCACTGAGAATACAATGCCAAAGCCAATTGCAATCAAAAGCAGTTAGAGGTTAGGTTATTTATGGAATGTTCAGGGTTAGATTATCATTACTTGAAATTATTCTGGTGGTGCAGCTTTTAAAGTGTAGCTTGGTCATTAACGATATGTTTTACCTCTTGATTGTAGGGAAGTGATTCAGCCCGATGTGATGGAAGAAATGGTGGTGTCATGTGTAATCAAACATTTGAATTTGATTGATGCACTGCAGTCTCTGATTAATTTCCAGTACCGAGAGGAACACCTCGAAGAGTATGATCTACTGTGTAAAATAATGGGAGAAACATTCAAAAAACTTAATGCTATGGAAAGGCAACTTCAGGTAAATTTGGAAGCAGAAGTGAACCTTGGTATGTCTGTTTTAGGTTCAGCAGTGCTACTTTCTGGAAGTGGGGATGTGAGGGAGCATTTTAGAAGTTTTCAGTTTGGTGAATAAGAATCTTGATGGGTTCCCTAAAGCCTTTCTGTATTGATAAATTGTTTCAATATGTGAAATCACATATTTTTATATGTAAATCAAACAATGAATGTTAAGATTCTATGCATGTTTGTTTAGAAAGTTTAAATTTTTAATAATGCAAGTATATTTAACAGTTGGTAAATATTTGCTCAATTGAAACATAATTTATCCTGAAACCCCAGATTTGACTGTAAAACAGTTTTCATTTATACTGAAATTTAAACTAAAACTGATTTTTTTCCACTCATTCTCATTCATTCTCACTGCTCTTTATGCCAAAAAAGGCCATCAATCTCTGAGAATGTTTAAATTTACATACTGCTTCAAATTATCTCTTTCAAATGTTTTTTCCAATGTATGAAAGAAGTATGTAATATTTTCTCAGTGATTCACTTGAATAAGTTGTGCCTAGTTTTAGTTGAATGGCTAACAACTTAAGATTGTACAAATGTCTCTCATCCTATTATACACAACTAGACATTTTCTCAGATTGGTTTATTCTTAAAGATGATCTTTACATTTGCTTTCATTGTTTTTGTTATCGCGTAGAGTGTAGCAGAGCTTGAACAAAAGTGGCAGAATGAAATGGAAGATTGTCAGCAAGGGAAACTAGAAAACAATCTGCCTTTTTTCCATGACTATCACTTCAATGAGGTTAGCATTTGAATTTAAAACGATTGAAGTCATCTTTGCTAATAACATAGAAACAAAATCACTGACATCTCAATCCTCAGGTCTCAGTGGAAATGTGGGGAATCAAATTCAGTACATTGACCACAATGTGCATGTGAAAATGACTTCAAAGTATCAGCTGGTGTTGCTTTTGCTTTCCATTTCGGATGTGAGTGGGAGGTAAATGGGGTAAAATCTGAAAATGCAAACATTGAGCAGCATTTATGAAGAGAGAAGCAGAATTAATGTTTCAGGTTGACCTGATATTCTGATGAGAGGTCAGCAACCTGAAGTTTTTACTCTGTTTCTTCCTTCACAAATGTCGCTTGTCCTAATTATTTCTAAGCATTTTTTGTTTTGGTTCAGATTTCCAACGTGTACAGGTTTCTCTTTTTCTGGAGTTGCAGGACATCCTGTGCACTAATTTCTGTCTGGTCCTGAGACGTTTTTGGCTGAGCACTTCTGCTTACTTAATGCTCCGTATCTGCAAGCCAGAAACTCAATTCTTGAGTGCTTCTTGCAGGAGCTCATTGCAAAATTAGTTTTCCACCTTACCCAGAATGTTTGAAAGAACAAAGCAACCTGTAGTTCAGAAGTAGTAAATAATCAATCCCATGCCTTTGCATGAGGTGTATATAATTATGAATTGTTTAGAGTGAGATACTTCTGCAATTCGGTTTTGATTTAGTGAGCTGTTGCAAAGATTGAATTTGCAAACCTTAAGTGCCTCGTTTTTTGAGTTCTTGTCCACAGAATAGAGATAGTGGACTTGCAATTTTCCAGCAGCTGATGATGTGTCCAGCATGGTGCACCTCTATCCCTGAAAACTGTCTTAATTAGTTTTTGAAGTATCGCTGTTGTTTTTTCAAAAATATTGCAGCCCGTCTTCCAGGATTGCTAATGTTGCTTGAGGAAATAATGTTGATCAGACATCAGGAGAGTTTCTTGCTCTTTAAATAGTACTCTGAAATTTGTGTCCACCTCCTCATCTGACAGATGTATCACTCCCTAACTATTACTCTGAAATATTAACTCCAATTCTGTAAACTAGTTCTGGCATTAGGCGAAAGTGAAACTTTACTAAATAGGTATTCTTGTTCCTGAACTTAGGAAGCAATTAATTTCTAACCCATCAAACAATCATGCTGATTTGAAAACTGATACGTTGATTCCAAAATTCAGTGTAATATTGTTTTTCTCCAGAGTAAAATCAAGGAGTTAGAGCTGCTCTGCTCCCTGAAGGAGATGCCATTTGACTCTAATGATTTGGAAAACATGGTGCTTTTATTAAGGTATGATCACATTTTATCAACCAGGGGTTTGAAATTTACTTTGGAGATTATTTGTTTAGCTGATCTTGGGCACAGAGAAAGTACAAGTTGAACAATTCTATTTGTTTCTCCTGGGAACATAGAAGAAAATTAGGCAGAGTCCCATTCCTGGTTTTATTTCCAGTGCCACCTGCGAGATAGTACATGGTAGTGAATTACAGGTGGGCAGAGGATGTGACTTGACTGTGTGGCATGCTTCACAGTTGGATAGCCTGGCAACATTCATTGCTCACATGAAGAGCTAATACAGTGTTTACCTGTACAATGTACTGAATGGCTGCGAGATCATGCTACTTAAATTGTTGGCAAAGATCTGTAGCTCAGGTTGTAGTTGAGATTGTTGACTTGCTCGCCGAGCTGGCTTATTCTTATTCAGATGTTTTGGCACCATGCTAAGTGATATCAGCAGAGCCTCCGATGAAGCGATGTTAGCATGAATTCCAAGCAGAGTAGAATAACATTGCTTTCATCAGAGGCTCTACTGATGATGTCACCTAGCATGGTGACGAAACGTCTGAACGAGAACAAGCCAGCTTGGCGAGCAAGTCAACAACCTCCGAGCTTAGTACTGTCATAAGATGAGGTGTGATAGCTAGGAAGGAAGCATTCTCTTGAACTTGAATGCACTGTAGAAAATCTATGGTTCCTGCAACTTCTAACGTACATAACTTTCGAGTGCTTTTTGCGTTGAAAGCTTTCGAGTGCTTTTTGCGTT